GATACGTGAAAATGAGAAGCCGAAGCCGAGTTAATGTGCCAGACGGGAGGTGGGGCGGGGGGCAGCCCCGCAAGAGCCGGCTGGAGGGACGAGACGGATGAGAGGTCAGCGGCACGGGGGGGAGCACAGGCGAGGGTCAGGCCCAAACCCACAGCGCTCGTCCCCGGTGCGAAGGTGGAGTCTGGCGCAATGAACAGCAGCATCTCAGCCCGTGGTTCAAGCCCTCCTGCTACTGAGGTTTCAGCTCCTAAAGGACTCGCCCCCCGCCTCCTACCCCTGCCTCCCCCAAAGCACAGCATAGAACGTAGTCCCATGCAAGGAATTTCTGGGGTGCAGCGTAGTGCTTACCGGCAGCAAACCCTCAGCTCCTGAAAGGCTGTTGTGGGGGAAATGCTTACTCTGAACAGCGGTAGCCAGAAATCTTCCCATTCTATGTATTTCGATTTATAAGCTCTTCAGGCCCAACAAGATTTTTCTACTTGGCTCTGGAACAAGCAAAACATATTTTGAAGAGAAAATTCTAAAGACAAAACAAAACAAATGCCATCATTGTAGCTAGCATATGCTGAGGAGAGGCCAGTAAGACCACTAGGACAAAGCCAACCCTCTAAAGCAGCCCTCTTCAAGCTACTGCCTTCTAATGCAAAAATATAGCAATTATAGGTCTATATAAATTGCCATAGAGCATGGAAAACTGTAAGAATTTCCCCTTGAGTCACCGTATAGTTTAAGCCTTTAATCATTCTTCCTTCCCCTGTTGCTGGAGGAAGAGCATTCTCTTGCTGCTCTCTAGTGGCAGGCATTATTAGCAAAATTAAGAGAAGGTGCTGAATTTTGCAGCTTCAAATGTTTTTTTGTCCAGCAAATCTGTGCTGAATGAGTACAACTTACAAATCAGTGCAAACACTGTGGGTGGATATTTGGTTATCTTCTTTCAGTTATGTTGTTCTTCAAGAAACATCTGATAAATGACCTTTCCTCCTTCCCTAGACCTCCCATTCCAAATCCAGGTATACTAATTATTACATTTGCTAGAATGAACTGAAATAGGCACTCCTCAAGCCAACGATCGAGGAAGTTCTGTCTAGAAACTAACAAAACCAACGTTACTGAAGCAGTACAAAGAAACATATTCTTAGGGCCAAGAATTTTATGCAAACTTAAGTGGAAGACTTGAGGACTTGAGAATTTACACTCCAATAAACAGAGGGGTGGTTGTTTTTGTTGTATTCCAGTATTATTGCAGCTGTTCCTAGTGAAGGGCTTAGTTGTGGCTACAAAAGAAAAACAGGAATGAGGAAAGAAAAAAAAGAGATAGACAAACATTTGGGAAAAAACCCCCCCACATACCCACAACTGAGTGAAATCCTGTAAATGAATTCCAACTGCCTCCAAAATTAAAAACATGTTTTATTGTAAAATTGCACTCCAATTAGTACCATAATTCTTTATAAACATAATATACAGTGAAATATTTTACATGTAGCATACCAGGCATATGCTTACGATCTTACAAGATTTACAGCTCAGGATACTTGTCCGACAGAGTTGACAACCTAAATATGTGGCGTCAAGTCCTAGAAAGATGTTTGATCTTACAGAGCAGGCCACTGTCTTACCATTATCTGGTCTCTACTTTAACACATTCACCACGTACCCAGAAATGTCAGAAATGCTGTACATTCTGTCTCAAGTTTCTTTCATGCTCTTTAGTTGTGAATGATGGTTCCTTATTATCCAATTTCCTCATTCTAGAGAAGGCCTTTCATTACTAGCTGTTCAGAAATGGATGATTGCTCTTGGATGAGTGCAGCGTGCATGAAAACAACAGAACGGATGATTTAAGAGAGTCTTCAGTTTGGGTAAAACAAACCAAACAACTTCCCCGCCCCAAAGCAACCAAAAAAACCCAACACACCTCCGTCTCCTCTCCCACATCTGCTATTCGCATTCTTCCTTCTCCACACACACACACAATTACATGCGAGTGTAAGAACAGTAATAAAAACTTGGAGAGAAACCCTTATCACACTGCGTCATAAAAGACTGGGACCTTTTTTAAAAGTATACATTTCAAATATAAATTAGAGCTTCTTAAAATGTCAAGCTAATAAATGCTTAACATTAGAGAAAATAGGACATGGGAGGAGACCACAGCTACCTTTGTACTGCAAGTGTAAACAACGTATGTCCTGCCATGGTTAACACTGCTTTCTTCTTACCCAAAACTGCAGAAATACCTCCTTCATCTGTGCTTCAAGCTAACTGCAGCATTTCTGCATCATACCTATCACACGAATGGTATTTTCAGATGAAACTGGTGTTATTGAAACATGTGAGATTGTATCAGGACGGTATACAGTAGTGTAAGTTTCCTTAATGCTTGGGAAAGACCAAGTTACCATTTCATTCCAAACCAAGCATGGATTTTTGTGCTCTCATTTGCCACAGAGCACTGAGAAAAAACAAAGGGGAATAAGCAAGACCATTGCCTGGAAATTACTGGAACTTGTGAATTAAGTGGCAGCATGAGAATATACAGCAATGTGTTTACCTTCCTGCCAATAGCTAGCAGATTTGCAAAACAAACCACAACTGGCAAAAAGACAAGATACAACCTCTGGCCCTAAACAGAAACATTCAGCTCTCCAAGTATTGAAATATGCTTCGGCTTTGACTTGTTTCCTCTGTGCTCTCTACCCTAGGCCGTTTGGCCAGAGATGTTAGCACTGCAGCAGGACCTCTTTTCTTCACCTACAAGGGAGTGGCATACTATTAGAATATACAAAAATCTCCAAAAAGTTTAAGTTTTGAATTATGAGAGAATTGTTTGGTGTGAGAGTGCATACTAGGAAATCATAGAGAATATTTAAAACAGCAACGCTCTTAACTACTTGGCAGTGCTTAGTATCTGTACATTTAAATAATCTACATAATTGGCAGCACATTCCACACAAATCTTTACCTGAAGTTTTGATTTCTCCTTGGCCTCTGCACTCTTGTCTGGGGAAAGTGTATGAAAGACAAAATTCCTTGAATTTCGAGGTGCGTTTGGATTAAGATCTGACATTGCTGCTAGTTTCTGAAGGACAGCTTTAGGTCTGTTCAAGAGAGACCCATTTTTTATCTGAAGAACAAAGAAATGCCGTGTTAAACCACTCACACAAACAAGATGGCTCTTTTTAGGTTACTCTTAATAGAAAAGACTACTCCCTACTAAAATGTTACTCGCTATCATGCAAGACAGAAATGGCCAGAATCTAGGGTCAGCTGACTTTGCTCTGTTCCACATACACAGTTTGGAAATACCATTTTTCAGCACCGTTACCAACCTGAATGTCGCTGCCAGGTCTGAATGCTTCAAACGGGTTCCTGGGTAGTAGCGTTGTGTCTTGTGCCACTACTGCTGGGCTTGCTAGCAGAGACAGAGAGGAAAGTGTCAGTTTCTGAACTTCATTTGAAAGAATATAATTTTATATCAAACTGAAGAACTTAGAATTGACAACAGACTGGAAAAAAAGGTCTGCATCCAATTACACATACAACTGGTAGATGACTCTAGCAATTAGTTCTATCAGTTAGAAGGGAAAATTTGGTTTTGAAACAGCTTTGCATACTTGGAGTCATGTTTTTGCCACAACCAAGGAAAACTTAAGTTTATTTTCACTACATTACATAGTTTTTCCTTAAGTCACAGATACTTGGAGAAACTTCTAGGCTGAATGTCACTTACAGTCTTCTACTCTGTGACTTAAAGGCAAACAAATGAAGAATAAAAGACTAAACAAAGACAAAGAGGAATTTATTTCCACTCTACAACATTTTTTTCGAGAAGCAACATACTATTTTATTAAGTAAATACACACAATTATCATCAGCCTTGCGGTTGCATATTTTGAATGCTTTTATACCTTTAGCTTTTCAAGTTCTGGAAGTCATGAGCCCAGACTGGTGTAAGAACACCAGACACTGGAGTTTTCTGATCTGTGGCGTGATTCACTGGAGACCACGAGTGACAACTGGAAGTTAAGCTTTCTTTCTCTTATTTGATTGTCACGTCAATAAAAAGTAAGCTTACCTTTCTTCTGTAGGGACTTAGCAGTTACTTTTTTTGCTAGTTTCATGAATTGGCTGTCTTCACCGATTTCTTCTTCCTCCTCCTCCTCCTCCTGCTCTTTATTTTTTTCCTTCTGTAGCAGAGAGAAGACACTTCGTAAAATGGAAAAAATTCATATTAAGAATGGACATTTCATTCAGTATTTTAAGTAGACCAAGTCCTTTCATTAATGTAAATTAATACAGTCTTTTTAATTTACTTTCTACTGTAAAAGTTTATTGCAATAATTTCTTACTTTATCATCCTCATTCTATTCATGAACAGCAAACCTGTACTATCACATTCAGCTGACAAAGTTGACCTAATACTGAAACTTCTAAAACTTATGCTCCCAGCATAAGAGACTTATTCCAGCTTTGAAGCTGACTTGTTTCAGAACATAGCTGTTTTGCCTCTCCATTCTGAATTAGTTTCTCTCTGTACAATACTTGAAAAGAGCAGAATTTATGATGAAAAACAAAGATGTGTTTATGAACAGTATTTAACTTGAGGAACTAACAATTTTGCATCTAGCAATAGTATTGAGAAAGACTGAGCAAGATGCCTTCCTGAAGCTAACTAATACCTGCTCACGAAGCCACTGTTCTCGTTCAAATCGCTCTTTCCTCCATTTTGCTTCTGTCTCATCAAACTGTTCATTTTCATCATCATTATCTGAATCTCTCTGAAACAAGTCAATCTGTGAAGCATAATCTAGACAAAGGAAAAAAAAATTTACCTATAAATTTTAAGACAGGCATAAAATATGCAGACTCTAATGCCCTCCCCCAATTTATTTCTGAAAGACTTCATTTACTTCTGCTGAGTGCTATTTCATACACACACACACACTCTCTTTTTCCAATCTTTCACCCCATCTATTAACTATGGATCAGAAAGGCACCTATGTTTTTCCATCTGAATCTCCTCATTCTGCCAGGGCCATCGCTATGCAGGTCACCATCAATGAGGTATTGCTCCTGGTACAAGCGCAACTGACGCTTGTCATCATCAAGCATTGCCTTCCTATTAACACGAAGAAAGGGAGGAGGTTAGTCCAGATAATATCCAAGAGCCATGACTTCACACACAAAAATATATACTAATACTGTCACTGACATATGTAATTTCTGTATTTGGTTTTCTAATTCAACTTCATTAGGGAGTTCCTCATCAATAATCTCTTCTTCATATTCGTTCAGGTCTTCACCGTCATATTCATCCTCGCTTCCCACATCACTCCCTGACAGCTCTGCCTCATCTTCCATGAAATCCTGCAGTTTTCTATAAAAGAACGTTAAAAGATTTCAGTTTGGTAGACCAATAATCATCACACAAATCTTCTGAAAGCAAGACTTATCTTTTGACGTAGAATTAACACATATCCTAAATGAGAAATTATGATCCATTTTTAATTTTTGAAAAGACTAAGACGTGAGTTCTTGCACATTTACACATACAGCCTGCCAACATGCAATACCCCAAATTATCGCCATCCACCAGATTCCTTGCCAGTTGCCTACCAAATGTGATGGCAATGATAACTGCCAACTAGATGTTTTACTTATTAGAACAAATAAAGACCTTAAGACATGAGGAATGACAGCAATATTCCTGCGCTCCCTTTTTTTTTTTTCCCCTCAAAAAAAACATGTTGCATTGCTTTCATAGCGGCCTTTTGATTTCCATCTATAATGAAAAATGTAACAGAAATCCTCTATAACCCACCAGCAACATAGTTAAACTCATGCAATGCGACAGCACCAAAGCAAAAAAACCAGCGAGAGCCAACACCATATAAACATTAGCTACTAATGCTGGGGAGGGAATAATTATAGACTAAATTTCTCATGCTATTAATATTCTATTCTGTCTGGCAATTAAGATACAAAAAAGATGTACTTACAGTTTCTTCTTCAAGCCCTGTCTATGTCTCAGCAGTGGTTCTTCTTCATCACTCACTTCTGCTTCTTCAGCATCACTATCTCCACTTTTTTCATCCTATCAAAGAAAAAGTTTTCAGAAATTAAGGAATTTCTGAAAGTGGATTACTTTGTAATTACAGCTTCTTCTATTCTTCAATCAATAAACAGACTAAAACACCAGAGAGTTTTCAGAGGATTTGCTATGCTAAGATGCTTTATCCAGTATATCATCATATTAAGGAGACATTTTAAATGATCCAAACATTGCTCTTAAAAACGTTTCAGTAGCTTGTTATGGAAGTCGTGATACTTTGCGCTGATGGTTATATTAAAAAACTAAGTAGGTAAATGTAATTCTCTTAGTCTGAATGCTGTAGCAGTTGCCTTGCTCCATCAGTTCATACCTCTTCACTATCAAAGGCATTGTCATCTGTTACAAGCTGAAAATCACCAAGTTCTTCTTGCTCCTCCTCGTCTTCCTCTTCCCTAGGGGAAAAGTAAGTGAAAGAAATACACGTTTTCCTTTCACCTCCAATGAGGGCTTTGCAATAATTCAAGGCAAAATTTCAACTACCACATCAGCTGGGCTCAGGCAATTACCTGTGAGTGCTCAAAGAGCTCATTTAGCTTTAAATGCCCCAAATCCCCATTAGCGCTGCTGTTTTAAGACCTCAGGTCTTCACTTGCAGAAACCATGGGACAAGTACTAATTTCTGAGCTTGTTTCCCTCTAAAATCCCTCTTGCATCCCCCTAACATTCCTATTTGTTAAGCCTCATTATCTTTTTGTCAGGCAGCCATACACCTTTCTAGTTTAATCAATGGAAAAAATGCAAATATCCAACTTAACATTTGGTTATGGTTCCCGTAGTTTGGCCACAGCCCAGAACAGAACCCAGGAGTCCTACGTTGTAACAATCTTTTCTCAGTTTGATGAAAGCTCTTCAACACATCTTTCACTATCAGTGAAAGACAAAGAAGAATTTCCCTTCACAGTAGCTGTGGGAAACAGTATAGGCTGCGGATTTAGAGAGCAATTGCTGAGCAATTTGCAATATTCCTCCCCTTCACCTCCAAATCAGACCACACTTTTGGTTACAGCATTTTGAATTTGAAAAAGAAAACATATTAAGAGTGAAACAATTACCACTATAAGCTTTTGTAAGCTTTCGGAAGAATAATGCTAACCTGTCTGTGGGAAAGGAGCCTGAACAAAGTGCTAGAGCTTCTGCCATTGGATCTTCTATATCACTGTCTTTTTCCGCCTTGGAAGATACTGAAGATGCCCATGTTGGAGAACCTGCTACAAAAAAGTAATAAGATGGCAACTTACTAGACACATATGTTTCTACTCTTAAAATGTCAGAGAGCATCCTAGAAATGACAGTTAGCATGCTCCCACAAAAGCAATGAATTGTTAGCGCTCTCGGAAGGTCCACATTCTTCATTAGTGCCCAGAACTAAAGGGTACCGTAGCATAAAGCCTATAAATCAAGTAACCAGCAAAGCTGAAAACAGAATTCAGGACATACTCTGAGACACAAATTTTCCTGAGCAAAGATCGAGCAATTCTTCCATGTTCTGCTTTTTGCTGCTGCTGGTATTTGGCACGTGTTCAGTTTGACTACTAAACTGTCCAGAACACAAGTCCAGTAACTCATCCATATTGGCATCCATTGCATTCTCATCCATACTAGCCAGAGTCAGCTGATGCTTTGAGGACTGGTATTTATTCCTATGTTGTCCAACATTCAAGAACCTGAAAGAAAGTCTGTAGGTTAGAAAAATCTTGCTGGTCTGTACGTCCTATTTCTGTTAAAGGGCACAAAATGTCATCCTTTACACCTATTACTTACCCATCTGCATCAAGCAGCTGGCTCTGAGTGTCATCTTCCAGAGAAAATTGAAACTGTGACTCCCCAGCCCCTGGAAATAAACTCTTAGGCTCAGGAGAGGCATTATACAGGTCCTGGGAATCTTCTATGGGAAGAGAGGGCTCAGACGTCTTTCCTGAGCTCTAGTCAAAGGAATGTAAAAATAAACAAGTTTATTAAACAAAAATAAAACAAGTTATTTGTCTTGCAATCCTAGAAGTCAAAAGCAAGAATGGGGTAAAACCTTTAAGCTATTTTAAAGGATTAACACCATGCAGGAGTTAAGTATGTCCACACTGCTCTGATAAATCATAGGATTTCACTGGCATCAGATGTTGTGTAGCCCATGTAAGTATGCTTAAAAAAATATTTACTATGTACATATTTTAGATACCAAAACCAGATTACAGCATCTTTTCTTTGATGTTTTAGAATGTAAGTTTTTTATAATGCCATTTTTATCCATTCCAATGTAGAAACATTTTAAACCCCAGGGACAGTTTGCTTTTCTGAGATCTTAGTCATATAAAAGCATTTCGACAGATGCCTTCTTCTGTTTTTCTTCTGATAAATATGACAGTCAGGATAAAACACATTTATTCACTACCCATTGTGCTAATATACAATGGGAATAGCAGTGAGAACCTTACCTTGGAAGCAGAGCTGATAAAGCTTGTTTTGAAGAAACCTGGGGAAGGTGACCTGAAACCTCCTGCTGCAGATAAAAAGTTCCCCCCACGTGACATCTGTTTGTTACAGGGCTGATATGATGGAATCATGGAGCCAATCAACTCAAAGCTGCTGTTATGGCTATTCTCTTTTGCTGGTGTTGGTAGAGAAAACGAATCATCATCCTCTGAAAAGAAAATAAATATTTAAATACCGTGCTTAACGTGGAGTATTTTTGTGATCCAGTAAAACCTCAAAAGACTATTCTGCAACACCAACACCTTGCTAAAAAATCATTATTCTGTGCTCGTGTCGGATTTCTTTCGTCACAGAGGATGCGCGTTGCATTTTTTTACTGAATTTCATCTTTATTTCTGACTGTTTCTGTATTTTTTCCAGAAAAATTTTGAACTTTATTTTCCTCCAGTTTTTTCAAGCCCTCACATTTCTTTCATCAGTCTAAGCTTTTATAGTCATACTGTATAAATATACAGATGACGAAATAACAAAAATATGGAATACCAATCCCAAACAGAAACTTCCACATGTGCCATGTGAAAAAAAACACTGGCTACGATAATAGTTCTACTTTACCTAACTTGGTAGGTCCTTTGTCTGCAGCTTCTTCCATTTCAAGTTTCTCATCAGGAAGAGAATACCTGCAATTCATTAAATAAAATGTATTTGCTAATATATACAAGATCACTATTGTCTGTCAAACCTAATTGCAAAAAACAAGGTGCCACCCAAAAATACATCTAGTACACTTTGATTAAGAAAGAGATTATTCCACTAAACAGCAATTACAGTCATTAAGTTCTTTAAAGAAAAAATATATGAATGCACATATAACTACTGGAACAAGACAGAAAAAATAGTTGTAAAAAGTACTTTAAATCAAAACATCTATGTGTATTGATCAAACTTAAAATTGCTCAGGCACCATTTTTAAAGCTTGGTTTATTTACCCCATTTTGGAGGAGCTGTCCTTAAAAAGCATCAATGTAGACTCTGTCGAAGGTGGCTTGGGAACAGAATCACAATGCACAGATTTCTCCAGCTTTTCTCCATCAATTGATTCTTTGTCGGTTTCTTTATCACCATCTTCAATGTGTTTCTCTTCTATATCTTCATTATCTTCCTCTTCATTATCTTCCTCTGCTTCGCCAAGCAGAAATTCCACATTCTAAAAAACATCCCCAAACATAGCAGAGATATGGTGATTATTGCTTTGATCTGTCAACTTCCTTGCATACTTTTCAAGAAAAAAAATTTTAACATATGGAGGATGAAGCTGAGTGACATTCACAGTATTTAAAAATGCACCTATTCCACTCTGAGACAACTGACAGAGGTGCTTGAAACAGCCAAGCTATTCCGACCCTTTTTAAAAAGGAAAAGGCCATGGCAAACCCTACCCCAGATCAGGCAGGTGACCTCAGTTTGTCTCCTGCTAGCAACGAGCCAAGGATATATAAAAAGGGAAAGTGGCACCAGATTCTTTTATACACTTTTTTTTCAAAATATTGTTTAGACAAATAAAGAAAATAATAATAAATTCCGGTTTAGAGAATCCAACCCCCAAACATTTTTTAGCTTCTAGGAAAAATTCTTGGCAATTTTCCTAATATTAATAGTGTACAAAAGTCTCATTTCATTGGGGAGAGGCAGCAGAATTGAAAAGCTGACTACGTTATGTAAAAATGTTGCATACAGACCTCATGATCGCCTTCTTCCTCTTCCTCAGACTCATCTGTCATCTCTTCCTCCTCCTCCTCTTCTTCCTCCAACATGTCCTCATTATCCAGTTTAAACAATGCTTGCCGCTTTTGGCGTTCCTCAGTCCTGCGGAGTTTCATGGCCTCCTGGAGTTTAGCCTTCAGCGCTTGTAGCTTTTCACCTGGACAGCAATGAATAAATTAATATAAGATGTACTACGGTGAATCCTTAACTTCATTGCCTTCAAGCATCCAATCTAATGTAACTACACACATAAAAAGGGAATTTAAAAATTACTTGTTTTTAAATGTTTTTATGAATTGATCTGCCAGCTGTAAGAGCTAGACCAGTTAGTTTCAGTGAGCTCAATTTAGAGACCACACAATCTCATGAATTATCAAGATTTCTCATTATCCGTAAATGCCACCGGCGCAGCACTCTGAATGAGAGTAGGGTCTGTCTCTCCGCTGTGTCTTTTGGGAACAAGAGCATCCAATTGCCGTGGGCAGATGTGCTATAGCACATGAAACAGTTAAGAGCAGCTAAAAATAACGTGTGCCCACAGAACCAGCCAAATAATCCATTTCTTTTAATGGATACTATGGGAGAGTCACATTCCACACATTTTTGTTTGCAAATGCATACAATTCTATTAGAAACTGCAGTATAGAAATAACGAAACATGAGAGATCTAATAAATGGTAATAGTTCACAAGAAGTCCGAGAGTTACATTCAGAGGGCTGGTGGAAAACAACGGTGCAGATGTATGTTTATATAGATTTTGGTACAGATGGGGAGAAATCCAGAGCACCAGCCACAAAGATCTGACTGAGGCTGTTCTACACTGGCCAGTACTATTTAAAAGGTCTATCGAGATTGTTTTTTTTTTTTTTTTTTTTTCCTCAAACCAGGGCTATCCATTAGAGGGAACATACATATTAATTTTAGACATAAAGATCCCTTCATCTGTATTTCATGGGGCAATATTGGGAAAGGGGGAAATGAGAGAGAAAAAAAAAAAAAAAAAAAGACAAAGCATTTTCCAGTTCAACCATCATCACTTCTCCCAAACTGACCTGGCTTTGTGTGGACTCTTTCATCCAGGCTCTCCGCAGCTAATACTGCTGGTACCACGTCTGCTTTCAGTTCCTCCTTTCCTTCAGATGTAGTCTCCTTACGAATAATGTTCATGTTTATGGTCCGTTCAGCTTTGGATTTTGATGTTTGAAGAGTGTGCTTCAAGAAACGTGCTTTCAAGGCTTCTAATTCTTTAAATACATATTTATGGATACATAAGATAAACATATATATTAAAAATATATAAAAATCT